AGATCTAACATAGTGAAAAACCTTCAAGGTGTGAAGGAACTAGATGTACCATTAGTTAATAAGATGAACTAAAATATATCCTTATGTCATTTAATTTATTTCCTTTTAATTTCTTGCAATTTTTATCCTAAGTTTAACAACTTAATTTTGAAAAAATTAAAACAAAAGAATCTTTGCTTAAAACAAGAAAAATCCATACTTTTAGGTTGCGCTCTATATTTACAGTAAACATGATCCACTCAAGGAAATGGAGTATCCTTTGAGGACTTATGAATACTTTTATGATATTTCTTTCCATGTTGCACTAACTTTACTATTGTAGGAAGTGAAATGCTGAAGAAGAAGGGAACTACTAAACTTGGAAAAATATTTAAGAGAAAACATCAGTAAGCTTTCCAAATGACACTATATTCTAGCATACAAAGAAACTTCATCAAACCTGTCTAATCACTCACACATAACACTCATATGTTTTAGTTCTTCAAGAGTCATAATAATGATATCTTCGAAAAGACCTTTGAAATATGGTGCATTAAATTCACTAAAAAAAACTGAAGTGTTTCTCCTTCGTTAGTCCAAAGGTGGTCAAGGAGAGGTCGACTCCCACAGCTTAAGCCTCAAGCCCCCCACCTTCCTACACATCGGCAAGGGCTTGAGGGAAACTTTTCTTCTCTTCTCTCCTCCATTGATCGAACTTTACTCCAATATAAGTTGCTAGAAAAACAACAAATCTCTACGCACGCGAAAGCATGTCTATAAAAGTAGTTAAAGAAACAAAAATTAAAAAATTACAGCTCACAAATATATTATTGTTCATCACTTCATACGTTTGAGTTATCGACAAAAATAAATAAACACAATGATGATATATATTGGCATGGTTCATAATGAAGTTGAAGTAAACTACTAACTAATTAAGATCAGAAACTAGTTTAATCTTCTGTCGATGAATGAATTCACCAGCTTTCTTGTTAATATATGGATCAGCTGCACCCCATCTTTCCTTGTCATCATAATCACTAACATGCCACACTTTACTCCCAACACCTTCAAATCCATTATCACTATTCTTAATCCCTCTTTTACCCTTCTTGTTAGACTTGAACATGTTGAAAACAAAGAACAAACTTAAAGAGTGTTTCCTCTGCCTATTGTTACCTGCCATAACTCTTCTTGAGCACACCAGTACTACATTTTCACAAGTGATGATCTCAATTTATAGTAGAGTAGTAGCTAGTATAATAGTGGTGGGTGATTGGTGTTGTTTGTGTCTTTTTTTTGTTGAATTATGAATAGGGAAGAATCTGATGAAAAATGAGTGTATGAAAGGACAAAATGGTACGAAGTTACTTTTGAGAAAGCATATTGGCTATGATCCGTTAATCTCGTACTTGACCAGAACATGTACTACTGTCAATAATGCTCGGTTCTTCTACGTTTGTACTTATTAGATTCGCACTTTGCTACCATAGATTATTGTTGCTCTTATTATTTGTTCTTCTAAAATCTTTTGTATTTACATAACGTATCACTAGTTAAAGTTCAATGAAATTTTTTAAAGAAATTTATACATAAAAATAACACTAATTTTAAAATTAAAAAAAAAAAAGAAGTATTTTTACACGCAATCAAAGAGTTCAATAACTATCAACTTCTAACGGCTGCAACATTCTAATTTTGATTACTCAAAGAGAAATAAAATAAGAGAAAACATAATTGTTTATAATTGATTCAAGATTTAATTAATTTTTTTGTCTTGTATGTTAACCTCGTAAATTACATTGGTCCCTTAATTTAAAAAATGTTCATATTGATCTCTTAATTCTTCAATATATATCATGTTAGTCATTTTTTTTTAATTAATGTTGGATTTAGCAACTAATTTTTTATTTTTTTATCGCTAATTAGACAAAAAAGATTAATATAGTATATTTTGAATAATTAAAAAATCAATATGAACAATTTTTAAATTAAATGACCAAAATAAACTCTAAAGTTAACATACGAAACCAAAAGGATATTAAACATTGATTTAATAAGAATATATTATTCACGAAGAATGCATAAGATATTTTAAATAGTGATCATCACCATATTAATAAATTTTAATTAACAAAATACATTAATTTTAAAAAAGAGAATTTTTTAATCCGTCCCTTGATACTATTAGGTATTTACCGAAACTACTCTTATACCCCTTATTTCCGGATATACATATTCGGACGCACCACTTTTTTTCTTTACGCTGAATGCTTCTAGAGACACATCTACGAAAAAAGTTATGTGGATGCATCTACGAAATCTTATCAGAACAGATTTTTTTTTAAATCAATTTTTTTTGTCGCAGATGGAAATTAACTGTTGTAAATGAATATAAAATGACATACATTCGTAAATAAAGTAATATGATATATATATATATATATATATATATATATATATATATATATATATATATATATATATATATATATATATATATATATATATATATATATATATATATATATATATATATATATATATATATATAATATAATATAAGAAGTCATATGTCATAATCATCATAAAAAATACTACTGTGTGTGCTTGACAACATCTGCATCCCCTCCTCCGTCTATGCCTCTGCCGCTTCGTCTGTCTCTCCCACCTCCTCTACCGCATGGTCTGCGTCCTCGACCATCGATCACATCCATCCTTGTGCGATGCTTGCAGTACATAAGTGCCCCCGCTGCCACCACAATCATATCATCTTATACACGTCTACGGTCAGTCCCCTCAGGAAAGAAACCAACGGCAATGTCTGTCCGTCTCATCTCCACTATCTGACGATAGCGAGGCAGGACATCCTGAGTGTGGTCCAACTCAGACTGTTGCTCCTCTAAGATCTCCTGATGAGCTGATCTAGACGGTGATCCTTCGGTAATGCGCACCATGTAAGGGTGTAAGACGGTGAAGAACCACATGATGTAGTCATCAATGCAGCTCTAGTCTCTCGGTGCTCTGGTCTCCCGAGCCTCATCAGGTACCATGTGCCTCTGGTAGTTAACATAGATCTCCTCTATCTACATACGAGTCAAGCCGAGAGGAGTGGAGACAACTAGGTGTCTGGGAATGGTCTGAGTGTAGTTGAACTTCCGCATGACGCGCTCGGGAAAATATGGAACAATGATGGTCGAACTGCATGCCAATCATCCTGAGAATAGGGAGATGTCGTCAAACGGGCGCATCAGACGCTTATCATCATAGACATCGTATCAGATGTCCTAAGCAGCAATGCAATCGAGATAGACTCTATAAGGGTCGACTGTCTAGTTCCCCCTGAGCGGGAGAGAGGCACGGGAACGCGACATCAACTTTGTGTAATCAGGCACACTCCCCCACTCGACGATCATGGGAAAGTGCTGGAATATCCAAGCCTGAAATGAAAATAAAAAACATCAGGATCAAGCATTATCACGAATATAGAATGAAAAGAAATGAAAAAAAGTCGAAGGATATAAGATTTTTACTACTAGTGTCACGCTCCCTGCCACAGTCCTGGTCTTCCACATGCATCCCACTTCCAGCCTCAAATACGTATAAGCCAGGGTAGCTGCCTGATCAGTGATTTTTATACGTTATTTTACTATGAGTTTTAGCTAATTATCTTATACATTTAAGTGCATTTTATTTCCTTTTACCACATTTTATGTTTTGGTTTGGTATTTCCAATGTTTCTAGGTTCAGGTACGCAATCAAGAAGAATTGAAGCAAAAACCGAGAAAAACTGCAGTAATTTGGAAGAATTTTAAAAGTGAAATAGGGGCCTGACACGGCCACCCGTGTCACCTGACACGGCCCGTGTCAGGATGGTACCGGGAGAATGAAGATTGAGTTTTGGACAATGGCCTGACACGGGTGCCCGTGTCAGCTGACATGGCCCGTGTCAGCATGTCTAGAATAGACAACACTTTTCAACTGATGACTAGGGAGCCAACACGCCCGTGTTGGCTGATGCGCTTTATCTTCCAATTTTTTGAATTTTTGGGCCTATGTGATCCCTATGGGTATTTTGGGATTTTCCTATTACTGTGTTGGACCTGGGAGTATTTAAGACAGATTTTGAGAAGGAAAACATGACTTTTGGCCAGAGAAGAATTGCACTATAAGGATTAGAGAGATCAAGGTGATTGGGGAACTGAAGATTTTTATAAGCGGAAACCATTGAAGATCCAAGAACCCTATTATCTTGTAATGTCTAGTTTTTATGTTGTATTTTCTTTGAATATTATGAGTAGTTAAACTCCCCAATACTAAGAGGTGTCCCTGATTCGAATGTGTAATGACTCTGATATTATTATCGCAATGACATTTCCTTTGTTTAATAATTTATTTGATATCTAGTTGTTCTTAATGCTTGCTTTGTCGAACCAACATGGTTTGATTTACAATTAATGATTAGGCTGGACTGTCGTTGTTAAGGCTTTACTTTTGACCATCCTATAGTAGATATCACCTAGGACTAGGGATACTCTATAGGAACCAGAATAATTCTTGATAATTGATTGCATAATCTCACTTATAATTCTCAATGGATGTAGGAATTAGAGTAAACGATTAAAGGTTTTCTCACTAAGGACTTAGGAGTAAACATTCTAAAAAATCGGTAATTAAGTAGTTACAATAAGTCGTTGCATGTTAATTCAGAGTTGTTACTGAGTCGGAATATACGCCTTCCATAGCATGTTACTCATTTATTTAAACCAATTAGTCAATTTTCCCTTTTCCTTGAAAATATTTTTATAATTAAACAAAAACTTTTTTAAAATCCTAGAGCTTTTGTTTGACTAAAATAAAACCAGAACTCTATATCGTCAAGCAGTTCTTGAGATCGACATTTGGGGAAATCCCCTATATTACTACATTGTAAAAATAGTATACTTGTTATTTTCCCGATCACCACCCCTAGTCCTGGTCTTCAAACCAGAGGCGGCAAGGACATCCTGGAACCAAGCCTCCTATTGCTGCTCTAAAGATAATATCTTCCGCCCTTGGTTATAGAACTTCTGCGGCTGACGAGTCTGAAAATTTCCATAAATAATAAACAATATTAATAAGAAACAATGGTATAAATTATAAATTTCCAATGAAAAAAATGAAACAATTTGAGTAATGTTACCTCTCCATCCCAAACATGTCTGGCAGTATGGTCAGCATACCCTGTCAGCAGGGAAACATCTGAAGGACCCCCTGGGAAACCCTCAGGTTCATCATCATCATCGTCACCAGCATCCTCTGGTGGTGGGTCATCACCTTCTGGAGGTGGCACCGGATCATCGGCAGGAGGAGGATCAGGAGTATCCCGATGAGGCATGCGGGAGGACGGGGCCTGTGATAAACCCTCAACTAAATCTCGGCGCCTCCGGGATGAAGAAGTGGATAATGGGATGGGATACGAGGTCGAGGGAATGTCCTGGGCATGTGATGAAGAAAGATGTGCCTCAACTATATCGGCCTCGATAAACGTGGCCTAGCTCCACTCGTGTATCACAGATGCATCTTGTGAAACTCGTCCAAGTTGCAATCTATCTTCTCTGTCTGCCATAATGTTTGCAAGGTATAACCAAGAAAAAAATTAGATACAAATAAATAAAAAACAAAAAGAAAAAAAATTAACATTTTTGTACTTCCGGATGTGAACATACGGAAAACTTTTGTATATGTATCTACGGAAGAACACAGAATTCAGAAAGTTTGATTTATTCTAGAGCTGCATCTACGAAATTACCCTAATGTTAATTTGTTTTGTAGATGTAGCTCCGAAACTTCCTGCAATTCCAATAGTCACGACAATGGCGTCCCATACCCATGAAAATTAGTGTTTTAAAGCCCTGATCGTCCATTTCAGCCAACAAACAATACCTACATTGTCTCTAAACTATGTTTCTAAAACTATCTAAGGATTTCTACCTCTAAAACCATATTGTAACTCGTTTACGTGAAATATTTGAAAATACCTTGGAAACTCGAAAACTTACCAATTATATCGAGCTTCAAATGAGTTGGAGTATCTTGATCATTGAAATGAATGCTCCTTGTCGAACTTGATTGAAAAAAGTTCAGTTTGGTGGGAAAATATTTTTTGAGGGTTGAGAGTTTGGAGAGTTTGAGAGTGAAGAAGATGAAAAACGAAGAATGAGGGAGGAGAAAGGACTCTGGCTCGAATGTATTCCAATTTGTTCTGGAGCTATATAAACGGAAATATTTCATAGATGTAGCTCCGGAAAAAACTGATGTTGAATAAAAAAAGGTGCTTCCAGAGATACATCTCCGGAAGCAAGGGGTATTTTTGGAAGCGCACATGGTGCCTAAGAACCCCAATAGGTGGGCTAAGAAATTCTCTTTAAAAAATTCAATTATACCTCTATGCTAGACTATCTGAAGGCCCATGAAGAAGGACCAATAACAAGTATTGAATGGAAAGACACGCCAAACAGGTGGACCTTCACCTATGCCAAGCACACACGATCACACCCTTCATCACATCTCTCAAAGTTAATTCCTAATCAAACAACTATTTACACAAGGCATTGAGTTACATGCAAGCAATTTTAATCGCCCATAATATATAAAGATCCCATTACAAAGTTTAGGTATTGAATTTATTTTCACTTTCATACTATTTTTCACTCAGTAACTGAATTGGGCGTTAGAGCGCTAACCTTCCAGGTCCACCCCTTCTCTGTCGTATTAGAAGCTTGTTATATACCGTGCCAAGACCTCATTTCACTATTTCATTAAAAAAATTTGCTTCCCCAATCAAACTTTGGCGTCTTGTATGAAAAGTGACTCTTAATTCCCATTGTCTTTTCACAGAAAGCGTTATTTCTTCACCAAAGATGCAGACTGTCAATCTTCTTCACTCAGATCACCAATATTCTTCTCCCGCATCTCCAATATTTTTTCTCAGATTATGGATATTCTCCTTGCAATTTTTCGATCTACTTCTCTCAAAACACCAACCTCTTTCTTGAACATGTCAAATAACAAATTCTTAAAGCCAGGGTGACAACAAAGGTTACCAGATCTACCGCTCAGCATCACGCCTCTATTGCAGCCACTGAGGAAACAAAACTACATCTCTTCTTATGGTAGAGAATGATCTAGTTATATTTAATTCTTCATATGCTTCAACAGAAGAATTGCTTCTCCAATAATTAATTAGGGAATGTTCTAAGAATTTTTGTTCTTTTAACCTCTACAACAACTGATGCATGTACACGAGTTGCTTCTAAACATTCAACAACTACATACCAACCCAGGAATCCAAGGAGTGGATGACTTACTAAATAATGTCTGCAACCTGGTCCAGTAGCAAAACTCCCAAGCCTTAGCAGACAAGATACTTAGAATTAAAGAGAATCTGTAACGTCCTCCCCTGAGAATCAACACTATGGGCGATGCGACATCACACGACAACCAAAAAAACATGCCACAATTAGCTCTAGTAGATGAATCCTCACCATACGAAGTCGTTTTGAAGTCACAAAGTTATAACTGAAGCAAAAGATACTATACTCCCTCACTAAATTTTGGAGGTAGGAGTGGCAGTTAAAATCCACCAGAGGCTCCCTAGCCTCATAGCTTACAAGCACATTATTCCCAAAAGGGAAAGGTATAATGCATCTAGCCCAATATCTGAATGGAAGAGGAAACCACTCTCTGCAAGCATTCCTAGCAGTAAGATTTGACGTCTCCTTGAGAAACCCCAAAAACTAAAAAGTTATGACGATACTAAAGATCCAAACAAACATATTACACATGTCGACACCCTGTTGGATTTTTACCACACCTGGGGAGCCATGTAATGTACGATCTTCACATTAACCATTAAGGGAGTTGCCATGACTTGGTTCAAAACCCTCATAGTTAAGATCATAGAGTCGTGGAAGGAACAATACAATTTTTTTACTACTCAGTTCACCTCTCAAAAGCGAAAACCTACTACCAAGGTTATAATCAGCAGGACCATGCAAAAGAAAAAAAGATGTTTTATGTGAGTACGTCGATATGTTTACTAAGGTAGCATTAGAGGTAGGAGATTCAGACGATGGATTAAAGTATTGGATCTTCAAAAATGGAATGAGATCAGACTGCATGTTTAGAGAAAAACTAGAGCTAGAATAATTTTGTAGTTAAAATGATTTGCTGAGTAGGGTTCAACCCTACATAAACTACAAAGAAGATTTTCTAGTCGTAGAAAAGACCCATGGGGTGAAAAATACCTGATATGGTTGGGCTTCATAAGATGATAATAATCATTATTAGAGATGATGGGGTGCAAGGAGAAAAACTAGTGTGAATGTGCGAGCACCAAGTTCAAAGAAGTTGGGATCAGAAACCCTTATATGGTTAGAGATTCAGCTAGGAAAAATAAGTTAAAATGCCATGTTTCCATAAAATTCATGACCATGACACCTATGAAAGCATCCACCTAAAGTATGCATTTAAATAACTTATCAAAAAAAGGGTGACTCAGTGGGTATACTCGAGAAAGAGGCTGAATAGATGACCAGAACCAGAAGAAAGGTCACAAGGGATATGATGAGTCCCCAAAGAAGAAACGGTCTTCCCAACCGGAGAAAGATTCCTTTAAGAAAAATATTGAGACCATGTTAGCTTGAAAACTTCATTTAAAGAATTCGATGAAGAATGATAATAGCCACACTTGAAAATGCATAGTGTTAAGAGTCTCAAATATAGCTTCGACATAGTAGCCATGTCTACTAAAACTGGTTTGACCACCTTATCAGATTTTAATGCCCATGAATCATGGTTTGGAAGAGTATCGGGAACAAATCCATATGATTAAAATCATTATCTCTTCAAAACATGTCTAAAATCTCAAAGAGGTTTTTATAAATCAACGCTCCAACAAGGGTCGAGTTCAACATGTCCATCAGATGTTGGGGACTTATTATTTTTTTAGTTGGTAAGTCAGCCAAACTGGGAATGGTTATAAAAAATATAAGAGTCAGCCAGATACTTTCGACAGAGGCGGTTAGAAGGTCCAAAGGAAGTTATCAGCATGATAAGTGGTTTGTACCAGTTTTAACATTGAAGAGGTGTGAAAGTAAGTTAGAACGTTGAAGCCCACATAAGAGGATACATGTTAAATCCTGTGGAAATAACTGTTGTTGACGGTTACTATTGTATTATTATATAAGTTTATCTCATTCTTGTGATCAGGGGTCGCAAATTTCATTTAATCTCTATAGAACAAAAGTATCCAAGTCACAAAGAGAAATAGTTTGTGATAAAATGTATGCATGCGTCCTTTCTTTAAATTCCTTAAATCTTTTCAATTGAAGCATTTACTTTTATGACACTTATTATGCTTTTTGTCTATTTTCTTCTTCCAACGAAATTTTACATCGATCCATTTAGAGTTTGTGTTTGGTTTGTCAACATTCAAACGTTTATGTTTCAATCACACACATTTATAGTTGTACTTTTTTGCACAAATTGTCCTTAGGATATTTTTTAGTTTAATCCATTAAGTAAATTAAAACTCATGATTTTTTACTAAAAATACTAGTAAATAAATTGGCACGTCCAGTGACACCCTTTTGTACAATAAATTTTAAATTTTGCAGAAAAGTGTTGTGTCTTTTATAGTTTATTTTGTTCTTCATACAACTGTCGGAGTGTGTATGCGTTTGAGAAGTGGTAAAGCTAAATGGAATAGTTTTAGAAGTGGTAAAGTTAAAAGGAATATGGCAGCAAGAAAGTAACAAAAAAATCCCTTCAACACAACGATGCATCAAATATAGAAGAACAACCAATCGAAATAACGGTTGGAGGTGTGGGAACTTCAACATCTGTTGAAGTAACCACTCTTATTATAAGCCAAATATCAGTTTTGACGGTATTATTAGAAGTGGCGGTTCCCCCCACTACAAGTAAGAAGTGTTTCCAATACTCTTAGGGTCACACAATCATATTTGGGAGATCATAGGCCTTCTTTTCTCCCAAATTTTACCTTACCCCCTAAGGTTATGCCAACTACGATTATGGCAGACCTACAAATCAAGGCATCCACGTATGCAGATAATGCAACTACTATGGAAAACACATATAATCACGCCCGTGTTACTATGGATATTCAATCATATGTTGTAATATTTGATATTTAGGCACATGCATTTTTAAAATTTTATTTAACCACCTATAACAACGGTTGATTTAATGCCCGTGGTGAAAAGGGGCATATGGTAATGAGTTCAAATCCCAACACCGACATTTTTGGTTATTTACTTTTTTTTTAAATGCTGACACAACTTTCACCACGAGTATTTAAATCAATTGTGGTTA